AGCAGTAATCTCCGTGCTCCTTAGATGTACTCCGTAAGACACACATAAGCAAAAATAAATCTGTTCGTGCATGCTTGCTTGCATTCACTCATTCAGCCGATCGCCCTGTTATATGGTACTCGAAAAACTTTTTGTTTTGCGTTTTCAAATGATTTTCCGCAATGCTCGCGCTTTCAAAAAACTCGCAAGCACGTTTCACGGTCTTCGGAAAGGAAACCTGAAATGTGAATGCAATTCAAATGATTAACTCTTCAAAAAACACACTGCTAATAAACGTGCCTCTTTCCTATTTATCTTATCTGCGTCATTCAGAAATTTTCATTCATTCGAAAAATTGCTGAAATCGTTAGTTTTTGCAATATATACTCTAAGTTATACTCGCTCACGTGAAATTTATCAAGCTTTTGCAAGCCTCTTTCGTAGCAGCTTTGTGTATTTGTTGCACACGACAGCCTTTATTGGTTTCTTGAAAACAGTGTGAATTGTATAGGTTGAGATAGTGATTTTTTGAATCTTGTATTGAGAATCATTAAATTTGGAATTTAATTAATGTAGAGTCTGCAAGATGTCTCCTTTTATTCGAATAGGCATCGAATCAAATGTGCATCACCGCTAAAAATAACCGAACATTGTGTTAATGGCGACCGTTCTTTTTTTTCGAGATTGTTGGTGCTGATGTTGCCTTTTCTAAGCCTTAAATGAATATTGTTAATGATTAAGGGAAGTGCATTCAAAAAGGTGAGTGATTCCTCTTCGGAAGGCTCACTTCAACTGATTTTTTAGGAAGGAAGTGACCTGCAAATAGGATTCAGATACATTGTTGTTGCATGATTCATTGAAGTGATGATGTACAATCCAGTTCAATTGCTCAATGAGCAAGGAACTTACATTAGATGATTACACATTAATTCTGCAGAATTATTGCTGTTTGCGTTGCTGTACGAATTTAGTGCACATTCAGTCGTTTGAGGGGCAAATTCGAATTTTCTTTCCTTCACTTCGACTGAAATTTCATTCGAAGTTATCGCTGTTGTTGAGACAAAACCACAAAACTATTTGATTTGGTTTATATTTTATTGTGTTTTTGTGCTTATTTGCACTGTTTCACTGAAGAACCTTTCTGGAAATATTAGAGTTTAGCCGATGATTCAAACAATTCAACAGGTGACTAGCAGCCATGCGGAAACGAATGTCATGTAAATGTTTTTCATTGATGCGGTCAACAAGTATGTTATTGGTGGCGAATTTGAAATTTTGAAAAACGATTGAAACATTGGAGTTTGTGCTCAATGCTCTTGTGCCCTTGCTCATCGTAAGTGTAGTTCGTGACCCGCTTGAATTTTTTTTTTTGGAGATTTGGTCTGCTCACCTCTGTGAAGAAAAGAGTTTTCATATATCCTCTGCTCGTTGATTCGTTTTTCCGTTTTTTCTACGGATTTCTGGTACATACATGCATTTGTAGTTCTTAATCAACATTGTCCCGCATCAAACAAGAATAACTTAGAAATTCTATTCGCAACTAATTGCAAGCAAAAATCAGGCGTATCTTGAGAATTTGTCATTGATTGAAATCACTGGCTATGAGAGGTACGAGTTCCTAGTACCAGACGCGAGTACATTTGAAGCGTAAACTAGGCTTGTTAGTTTCAAGCGTGCTGGTAGCTTTAGGCTTGGGCTTAGCTGAAGTGTGTTCTGCTGAAAAAATACTTCGAGTGAAGACATGTTACGGCGCCTTAGGGAGTCATCGCATGGTCGGTTCTTCGTGCAAAACTTTTGCAGAATGTAACGAACATTCGAACATTCGTTTTTAGGATTGTTTTTCTGGTGGAATCACTCGCCGTAATTGCCCCATACACCACCCCATCCCATATGCGACTGCTGTCCCAGCAAACGATTTTGTGAACGATTTTGTCGGCTGTTTGCAGCTTATTTGCATATAACGAAGTGTTTATGATGCTATCATCAGATTATCGTTGATGGCGCCCGTCACTCGTATTTGTTGACGACGTGCTCTCGTCGATTCGATGTGTGTATTATTCAGTTTTGTTGTTGACAACTCAATTGTGTGACTGGCTATTGACAGCCAGCGATATGCGCACCGAGCAGCGCCGTGTGATGTGATGTTATTGCTCTGATTGAATGAGTGGTGCCAGCCAAAAAAACAACGAAACGAAACGAAACGAACATTTCTCTCTCCAACAAACGTTTCCGTCATTTTTCTGCTGTGAAGAGTTTTCCAAGAATTCGTGTCATTTTTTTTGCATATGTAATTGATTCACGTTTCATTTTATTCACATACGGCCATTATGATTATTCGTTTGTGATTAAGCAGCAGCATTCGATCGATCTTCTTCGCCAAAGCACACACAAACAAACACACATATGGTGTCGTTCGTTACTCGAATTGCTGCTCGCGTTCCCATATTCTAATTTTTGACCGCATTTTTCATACGTTCTGATTTATTTCGTTTTGATTCTTGTGAAACTTTTGTTTGTTTGGTACTGCTGATATTCACGTATTGTTTGTTTTGGTATGTTTTGCGGGGTGAGGAGGAGGGGGGGGGGAGCGGAGCAATTTTAGTAGTAGTCGAATTGAGATTGAGTTCGATTCGGGAATTTTTGAAAAAGTATGTGACGCGTTTGAGAAAAGATTCAATTACCCACCGAAACATTTCTAACAAGCGTTTTATTCGGATTGAAATTAGTTCCTTTCACCTTTTCTTTTTGGATTTTAATGTTAATGTTCACTGGATTACGATCCACCCTAGGCGAGCGATTTTTCAGTTACGATTCTCTTGAATAAAACCCGTTTAGTGCGTTTATTGCCAGTTGTTGCAGAGTGGATGTTGTGAACATCACCTCAGACGAGTGGCTTCGGTGTGGCCAATGTGAGGACATTCAGCCATCTGCGTAAAATTCAGTTTAACGTGCGTAATTTCCGATAGCGCTGTCTCCATTTCGGTCAATTTCTGAGTGTGATCCACATCATCTGATATCTGATGAAAATGATGCTTTCAGATTCAGCTGTAAAACACAAACAACGAACGGCTCTAAGCCCTTTCGTTGCGTATTCCCAACACCAACAACATCATTGTGCATCTCAATTATATATTCACATAACCCGCCGCTATTTTATTCGTTCTCAAATATTCGCTGAAAATCATCATCACACCGAAATTGCTATCGCGAGAGCTAAGTGTTCGGACGACGGTGTGTAAGTGTTTTGATCGTGATGTCTGTTGGTAACATCAGCATAAGATCGCGTAAACCCGAAGAGGCCGTTCACGAAGGATGGTTACTGAAGCGTGGTGAACACATCAAGAACTGGCGACCAAGGTTCGCGTTATTCATTATCGTATCCTTCAACGTTATTGCCTCTGTTTGGAATAATTCAATTCCGTGCGACTGTTTTCATTCCATGAAACAGTAATCGCACATTGTTGCTTGAATCTTATTTCGGAACAACTTCTCAAAAATTTCTTTCTCAAAAACAAATTCAATAGGTCACAGTTTCGTTTTCATATTTGTTTACTGCTTGGATTCTCTTTCTTTTGGTTTTTTGAGCTGTTTGGTTCATTCCTCCCGAGTATCACTAATAATTCTTCCAATAGTAAATCCTTGAATAGTAGTAATTACAACAGTGATAATAATAATATCGGTGATAATAATATAATAATGACGATAATAATAGTAATATTAATGAAATGATAATGAATGTTCATTGTTCACGTGAGTGAGCGCGAGTGACTGATCAAAGTAAACACACTTGAGATCGACTTATCACGTCACTCATCAACAGCATGGAACAATGATAACAGTCGAAGAAGTTGCCACATTTTTTTTCCAAAAAAGTGTTCAAAGAACATTTTCACATTCAGTTAACAACTAAACAAATTAGTGATCAGAAATTACCGATGAATTTATAACACCTGGCAAGAATTATTCGCACGATGAAGTGGTCGATGCCAATGGAAAAATTTAGGAAAACGTGTTTCAGTACAATGTCTTGAAAATTAGATTCGAACTTTCTGTGAGGAAATCATGTGGAAACTCGCAGAGAATTGAATTGATCACCACTTTAAGTCGTATTATTTTGTTCGTAGGAATTTGAATTGACTGCAGTCAGTGACAATCACGACACAGTTTACAAAGTTTTTGCGATAAAATGTGCAAGGAATGATTGATCTCTCTGATTTGTGTTTGAAAATTACATATTTGCAGCGAATAAAATTCATTATTAACGTGATTTTTTCTCATGCAAAAATTTGTTGGGAATTTATCGTTTCTTTTCTTCATTTCTACGTATCGTTTCTTCATTATTCTCTGTTCGTTAATATTTCAAGTGGAAATTGAACAGAAACAATTTCTTTTTTGCGTTCTAAACTTGTTGTCGTTAGCTTATTCACCGCATGAATGATTTCCTGTTTTGCAATTTGAAATTAGCTGTTATTTCTGTGAGATTGTTATTATTATTGTTATTAGATTGTTATAGTTAATTGTTATAGTTATTCCCATTTGTGGTATTCTTGTTATTATTACCATTATTAGCGCAAATATTATGATTGTTGGTGATCGATCACTCACGTGCGCATTGTTATTTGGGAAAACAAATTTATTTGCGCTTTCTTTATTAACTCGTCAAAACATGAGTTGTTACTTTGACGTAAACATTGTTTACGTATTGTTAATTAATGAGAAGTGTTAGTGTTCAAACATCACAAACACACAAAAACGCCGTCTTCTTCAGCAAATTCATTCATCACATAAAATTTTATGTACCATTTGAAATATTTAATTCTCTAAATTGTTTTCTTCATCAATGCATATTTTCGCTGAATTCTTCGATGAATGGAATCATTAGGAATCAACTCTTCATTTACTTGCAACTCGCTCAGACCTTTCAAGAAAAAAAATTCACCATATCATGTATCTGTAATGTCTAGAATGTTCCCTTCGCAACAGCGTTTGAATTCACTGCTATTGAATAGTTTACAAACATTTACAAACGATTATGAAACTTTTATCCTAACATTCTGCTGAAAATGTCGCGAATCAAAAACCAAAAGTATTCTAGCGAGTACCTGCTGTAATTTCGGTCGCAGATAATTGAATGATGCAATTTTTGCTATCAAATTAGCGGATCGTTGGTGGATATGTTTCTGTTTTATCCATGCCTTGTTTCAGCGATGACTTTTAGCTTTCCTAGAAACATTGAAAGCACAATCCACAAAAAAAGATACCACAATGCTGATGACAATAATAAAACCGATAGAAACGTTGTTGCTATCAAAGGGCATTCAGTATGTTAACTGTGTTCTGAGCGATTATGATAATAATCGTAATAATGTTATTTTATGTGATAAAAGTACACTCATAACATTCACTGTAGCACTGATCATCAAAATTCTATCAACAAACATCGCCGTAACGGTGGTGGCGAAATAAAAACGTAACTATAACAACAGTGATAATAATAATGAATTTGCTGTCTGTCTTCGTCATTCGTAATTTTCTGACGTGAATTATATTTCAACTTTTTTTTGTCCATATTATTTGCATTAATTCATTCGAATTTCACTTTGTTTACTGAATTTTTGCGTGCATGCTCACTTATTTTATGAGCTTTTTCCGTCGTTTTCATTTTTGATTAAAATTTTTCATTTTTTGATAAGCCGAGGGATTTTTGTTTCATAATCAGCTGTGCTGAGACGAAATAATCAGTATGCAAGTTTTGAAAGTCATTGATAATTATTCATAGATACTTTCATACGAATGTTTTCATTTCATCGATTGACAAGAAGATTGCCATCACTAAACACGCCGGGTTCACTAATTAAGCGCGTTGTATGTTCCCAGTCTGAAGGTACAAAAGGAATGAAAATTTCTGCAGAGCATCAACAAACCACTCAAATCTTCTCCTTTCAATATTTGTTGTTTTTCGCGAACATTTTGAATTTTTCGATAATTAACCTCAAACTAACTGATCGAAGAGAATGAAGCCTACTGTGTTCACTCATTTCTTATTTCCAACAATATGAAGTGAAGCTCAATTCAACCTCTCCATCAGTTCAAACACAGATCAATGAACCAATCACCGTTGCATTCAACTGGTCGGTCAATATTGGGATTTTCCATAAACTGCATTGACATTTCAGGTATTTCGTTCTGTTCAGTGATGGTGCCCTGTTCGGTTTCAAAGCAAAACCGGACCCAACTCAGCCGTACCCGGAACCGTTGAATGATTTCACCGTAAAAGATGTTCAGGTCAGTTCTGGTCAACTGATTGACTGCTTCAGATCAACTGTCGACTCTCTGCAGTCGTCAATTGTTGTATTCTGAAAGTTGTGCAAAGGAAGCTTTTTTGGATACAAGGACATGAGTACAGTCAAAGGGGATGTTATAGTTCCAGTGCATGCCTGTCGTCGAAATTGTATCTTCTGCTTAAGTCTGTTTGCGTATTCTGGAAAGCAAAAATAATCAGCAAGGAATTAAAATTCCCTTATGATACAACATTTCCTCAAGCGTTAACTAGTGAAATGCAAACGTGAATTGTTGCAAATCAATTCATTGTCGTCTTCCATTGCAGTCTCAGAAAATACGAGCGGATATCACAGTCAATCAGCTCATTTCAAATTCTATTTCATGCACATTGTTGTTCTCGTTAAACCAATTGAATTATCCAAATATTATTCCGTCATTCCGTCAAAAATCATATTCATTCCGTCAAGTAGTTATTATCTTTCGCAGAATAATTTCGGTAGTCAAGACGACGATCAAAGCAATTATCAGTGAAATGCAGTGCCTCTATTAATAGTAATAATCGTCGTCGTCCGATGAAAATCCATCAGAAGGATCATGAGAATTGTTTTTTATCACATTTCCGATCGATCTGCGCGTCGAGTTTTGTTGACATGCTTTCATCCTGTCATTCATCTGTTCGTGGAAATGATGGATCCTTGGAAATTAAATCATCTGTTAGCACAGCAGTTATTCCGAGGTAAACGGGGACGTGGGTGAGGGATAGGCAAATCTACTTGATTAAAAGTGAAAGTGCTGAAGTGATAGTTATGACTAATGTACTGAGAGACTCGATAGTGATATAACAATTCTAATAATAAGAGATCTTCGTCCACCTAGTTATGCGTATGACTGTTTGGTCATTGTATGTAACAACTGAATAAAGTTAACTACAAGGAAAACTTGGCGAAGGTACTTGTTAAGTTTTTTTTGGTACAATGCACGAACAAAATGCGAAACGTGACACTCATATAGGTCAATCTAATGCAGCATCTCACAATTCAGGGTTTTCTAATGAATCGTTTTTTGCGTGGAATGTTCACCGAGAATGTGGTATAAAATTGGTTGTAGGAAGTGCACCCACCAACAATTAATCGTCGTTTTTCGATTATTGTTGTAAAATCAATCGCTCGTTGGAAAGTGAATCTCGAAATGAAAAACTTTCATTGATTTCGAGTGAAGTTGAAGAAGCGAACATTGATGCATTGAAAAGAGAAAATTTCATTTGAGTTTTGAATGAAGTGAGCAGAAAAGAAGAAATTTTAATGGACAAACAATTGGAGAGTATCACTATTCATGTTGATTCAAAGTTTTCGTTGAATGGAACACATTCAAAATTGGACATTACAGTTTGTATATGAAATTATTTTTTTGGGTCTGTTAAAATAACCAAAGAAAGAGAAAAATCATTGCTCACGATCAGCGATAAAAAAAGAAAGCCGAAAAGCAAATGACGAATTCATCTTAATTAAATTTGAAATATTGAATTTTAAATTGTCTCCTCAATTGCCAACTAATATCGTTCAGTGATGTCATATGATTACATCTGTGCAGTGAATCATTTGAGTGCGAAAAAGTGAATGTAAATAGTAAAATTGGAAAGAAATCATATCCGTTACATATTCCTCGAAAGTTATTTGATTCCATTGAGAGGGAAGTTTGCAAAGAGTGTCGGAAATAAAAACGGAATCTAGGGAGTGTTTCGGAAGGCGAGTGTGAGTTTTCAAAAACTGATGAATCATTCAGATCTTCATAAGTCGTTTTGAGATGTCATCTTATGACTCCCGTCTTTCACAGAGAGTGAATGGGGGCGGGGGGGAGGGAGTGAATTTGAATGAACGAGATAGAGGGATGTAGAAATTTACTGGCCAGGAAGAAGAGTTCAAGATGAAGCGATCTACTCACTGAACAGTATTTCTCATCTTACTATTAACCTACTCACACATAAACGGGCATCAGTGATTCAGCGACAACAAATGCGCAACTTTACGTTCTGTTTCGAAGTGGTTGATCTGATTTGTGCAATTGATCTGATCTAGATGAAATGATGACATAAAAATTGTTTCAGTTGATGAAAGTTGACAGACCAAAGCCGAATACATTTTTGGTACGAGGTCTTCAATGGACCACCATCATTGAACGAATGTTCAATGCTGATTCTCCAGAATCTCGCGAAGCATGGATTAGTGCGATTAAGGTGAGCAAACTATCTGCGAGCGTTCGCTATTCAGCGGGTTTTTTACGTATCCAAGTGAAATACAATGATGAGATTTTAAAATCGATGATTGTTACTAAAATAATGCGCGTGTTCATGTATGTAATCATTACCTGAAATGCATGTAATCATCATCTTACAATTAATGAAATGCTGATAGTGAAGGTTCATTATCGGAGTAGAATGAGGTGTCATTGCAAAAGATATCCACATAACTCCATTCATTCAGTCATATAATTTTAGTCCTTTTTCTGGCTCATTTGATACGTTTCAAATAGTTCAAGTTCATTTGTAAACAATCAGCCGAGCGGCTGTTTCAGTAGGCGGAAAATTGCTCTTGTTGAATTTAGTGCAGTTTTGCATTACGATAGAAAAGTGCAAGAAGTTTCACTGGCGAAAATAGAAAACCGAATAAATCTTCTTGAAATTAGGGGGTTTTTACCAGAAATAATATAGTCAAGGTATGCAGAATGATGCTTGATGGTTTTTAGAGTGTATCAGACGCGATCAAAGAGCGGGAATCGTTGATGGACACTGAAATGACGGATGCGGGAAGTGAAGGCGGATTGAATTCAGAATCTGGGGTGAGTACGCATCCTCCGAATACTCATCATCGTGGTGTAATGTATTCAACGGGTATGAATTTGGGTCAAAATGACGATATGATGAGTATGGCGGATGCTGCGGAAGCGGCAAGAAGAGATAAAATTGTTAGTCTCATTCTGATGCTTCATTGGAACATATCTGCCTGACAATCCGCTTGAGATTGAATATGTCAGATTCAGAATGTACATAATTGACTGGATAATTCCAAACCATATTCGTATGGGGTAGACGAAGTCCTTCGAGATCTCTTTGGTACCCTAAAAGAGTTCATATAGTCTACACGTTCACGCTTACTGACTTCTTATCTGATGAAATTTGCGTTAAATGCCTGATACTTGCCTTAATCTGATGTCGTCTTGGTGGGTCGCGAATTATTGACGTGACCCACATTCTGCTCAAGTCTGCGCATCTCTGATGTAAAGCTGCTGCCAAGTGGGAAGGGATTTGGGTGTGTCGAAACCTGACCTTCAATATCTCAGATTAGAATGTCGACTGCCGATACGGTTATAGCTTCTCTATCCATGTTGAATCGCGTGAAAATTCGGTAACTTTAGTTTGGTTAAATGATTGTTCGGCAAGTTGTTTGCCAACAGAACAAATATAGGAAATAAGTTTTTCCTGTCCGTTCGTCGATCCTCACAATTAGTTTCATGCGATGAGAGTTTTACACTCCTGTGTGGGAAATTATTTGAAGGCGCGATAACAGAAAAAGAATGACATTGATCAGTTGTCAATTTTAGACTCTGGATGATTTCGAATTTTTAAAAGTGCTCGGTAAAGGAACATTTGGTAAGGTGATCCTTTGCAAAGAAAAGCGAACACGGAAACTATATGCGATCAAGATACTGAAGAAGGAAGTCATCATACAAAAGGTGAATTGATTGCGTTTTTGCCGATACTTTAATAATTCTTTTGGAACAAATAAGGAGAGATTCCTCGGGAAAAAATTGAAACGAATCAAGTCCTACTCAGCTACCATTTGGGATTGATCAAGATTCATTAATGAAACCATCCATCTTTTATCATCCAACTCCAAATTGCAACGTCCGTTCGCAATTTCAGGATGAAGTAGCGCATACATTAACTGAAAACCGTGTATTACAAAGATGTAAACATCCATTTTTAACGGTAAGTTCCAAAATTTTCTGGAAGAAGTTTTCATTTTCATTTATTTCTGCGGGTTTTCCTCATTTGCATCAACAACCCATTAAATTTGGTGATTATGAAACTTGTTTCTCTTCAATGTCCAATTTGTATTCGTATTGATATCTAATCGATTATGTTCTATAATGGCTGATTATTGTGTTGGTCTCATTTAATAATCCGTATTACTTTGAACACAATGTACCTCCTTGAATGTAAACTTTGCGTGGTGAATGAAATGGATTCCCTTCAACGGTCCACCGCGGGTAGTCAAGCCGTTCCTGAATCGTGTACTGTTTTCGAGATTAATGGATCGTAAGATTATAACAGCACCACTTCATAACGGAATATATACTTAAGGAAAACGTATACTTTGAAGAAATTCGTTTGTTCATCGCTTCACCCATTCTACGTTCATTCGCAAATATCACTCATTTTATATTTTAGTGCACCGTTTCTCCTTTCTCGCAGTTGTTCCGTAGAGACTGAAAGCTCACAATCAGTGTAAAGTTATGTTAAAACAAAAATTATTCTTTATTCCCAATTTCTCATCTCTATTTGATCATGTCGTTCCAATCCAACAACTGCAAAGATGATATCATTGTTGTTTGTTTGTTCGAGCGCCATGAAACTTGCAAAGCCATTCAAATTATTCAGTTTTGAAGCAAAGTGACAGCACATTGTGCTGATGGGAATAATTAGCGTAAGTGTAGATGAGGCCATGAGCCAAGTGGAGAATTGGAAAACAACGTGAATATTAGGGAAAGGGATCGAAAAAAAACAGTAGTCGGAAAGTTTCGTGGCATATTTTTGAGTAATCTTTCTTTTCAAATTTATTGCTTGATCTGCACACAAATCTCAACGCACCTTTATCAGAGGTAGCACTCAGTCTTCTCAGTGAGCTAAGAGGATAGCAGCGCTGGCATCGAAGAGGATTTGGAACCATCTTTTGCCGTATTCATAACCAGGATCGTCTATCTTCATTCAACTGAATAAAAACAAGATGGATTTCGTTGGATCAGCTCGGATGAAGAAGTGTCGTCGTGGAGGAAGGTTTCGAGTTGAAATCTCTCTTAGAACTGTCATTTCTCGTTTTGCAACGATTCTTATTGATTCTGATGATGTTCACTGATTGTATGTCTTAACATCCCTCTCAGTTCTCATTATTTATTCATATAAAGATTTTTTTCTCATTATCAATGGTTTCTTGGAATTTTGTATTTCGGTTTTTTCTGACATTTTTGAGTTCCACATCCTTCATTTTTATGTTGTGATGATATCATTTCACTTCAGAAAGTTTAGTTTTTCTTCCACAAAATTGCCGGAACTATCGCTGCTTAATGGTGGAAAGTTTTTGAACCGAAGTTGAGAGCTTTTGGTTTATGCTTTCATCGTAATTTCGATTCTTTCCCGGTGCATGTTCTCATTTCCGGCGTTTTCAATGAATTGTTTGTGTGTAAGCCTATGTATTTGTTTTGGTGGTTGTATTCACGGTCACGTAATCGATCTGATATCATTCTTGAATAGTTGAAAAATTAGAAATAGTTAAATAGTTAAATGAATAGTTAAATTAAGTTAAATTGAATAGTTAAATTAAGTTTGCAGTGATGAAACATTTCATAATTTTTTCCCACTGCTTCTTACTGAAACGAATATTATCCTCATTTTCTGTTTTCCAAATAATTTTTCTATCTTCCCATCATTTTTTTCTGTTCTTTCGACATTTTTCATGGTTTCTTTCTTCTGTTTCATTTGCTCACTTCGCGCAATTTCGAGCATCAGCAGCAACATTATGATGGATCGATGGGCTTGAGTTGATGCAGTCATACTGAGTGACGCTGGATGCGGGAATTGCTTTCCTTTTAGTAATTTGGTAGTTGTAGTGCTTCCTTTTTTGTATCCTTTCACGGATTTTTTGACTCTAAATATTGCGTTTTATTTGCTCCCTTCACCCTAGCTCGGTATGAATGGTTTCAAGCAGATTCGTAGAACATGACTCCATTTTGTTGTTATTAGCTTGCGGTTTCACTCAGTGAGCGATTTCATTTGCTTTTTATTCTTACGGATGCTATTGCAAATGGGCAGACCTCATGTGAAACGTAATCCATCATAATACGTCAAATTTTTGAGGTAATGCTTCATTACACCTTTCAATAGGAGTCTTTTCTAAAAGAAAGATGTTTTCTCACTGCAGCTAAATTTGAGCAAAAATCTAGATTGAATGAACCCACGATTTCTTGACGTTCAAACACTAAGTAAATTCAATAAATGATTTAAACTTAATGCATTTTTTCACCTTTGCCGAATTTTTTGTTCTTAATTCCATCGGAAATTTTGCTATAAAGTAGCGCCTTCAAGGAAACGTAAGAGTAAATTGAGAGCGCTCATGGCGTTGTTGGTGCATGAAATTACCACTATCATTCCAGCATCAGAGTTGAGCGTGTTCAGTTGTTTGGAAACGAATTGATTTGGAGAATGTGGTCGTCTCTATTTTGATGACTCTTCTCGGTAGTTGCAGAGGAAATGTGTGATTTTGTCATCAGTATTGTTGCTCTTGTTGTTACGTTTTTGTGCAGTAGTTTTGTTTGTGTTTTTGTTTTTAGCAGTTGACATACAGCTTTCAAACACCATTTCATTTGTGCTTTGTGATGGAATTCGCGAACGGCGGGGAATTATTCTTTCACTTGCAACAGAATCGATTATTCAGCGAATCTCGAACACAATTTTACGGTGCCGAAATTATACTGGCACTCGGTTATTTGCACGAGCAGTGCATTGTTTATCGAGACATGAAGGTAGGTCACTTCACATCATCAGAGCATTTTGATTTCGTTTCGTTTCAATCTCAATTGCGATCGTTTCTTTTCGTTACTTTCGTTAATTTATTGCAATGCGAATTGAACGTCAACTCCGAGTGAATTCACTCTCATCGAAAAACAGAACAATATCTGACAACATCTGAGAAATGAGCACTCATGATATTAAGAAGAAAAAGCAGGAAAATCATTATGAAAATATCGTCTAGGATCAAGAAGTAATTCGAAAAGATGTTCTTTTTTTGCACATTTTTATTCGTCAATTGGCAAATTCCAGTGAATTTTTTTTCGTGTTTTACGAAGAAATCTGAATCTTTGAGCTAGTCGTTAATGCAAACGAATTACAACATTCAGTTGATGAACAACAAAGCATTTTTATGACCTTCGAGCCTTCCTGCAACGACTTTTCGAGACCACACTAAATGCAACAAATTTGTTCCATCTACTCATAAAAGCCAACGTTTTCATGGAATTAGACCTCATATGATTAATGAAATGGAAATTACAGTGAAATTATTTCTGAGAGAATGCGACATATTAAACGTATTTCGCATTCGTGATGTGATGTCATGCTCTCGAAATTAATATAGGAAAAGAATCACATTAAAGTCTTTATTTGAAACGTAGCACACTCGAAAAAGGCAGGACCAAAGTCCAGCTCAGCAAGTCAACTTGCCGAGTGAGACCTAAAATTAATGCGTAGCATAAAAATGAATCATCTGAAATGTATGAAGTCTTATCGTTAGTGTATTCGATGCATACGCCTCACTTATTCTCTGAACCTAAACATTAATCATCGGAGAATAAATCAAGGCGAATTTTGAGTGAATGTTTCTGAATTGAACTGATTGATAGACATGCGCATTCGCGATTGGAAAACAAAACGCTGAAAACATCAGCAGCGGGTATGATCTGATTTGTTAGAGAGGAATGAATACGGATCGATACAAGCAGCAAATAGGTCGGCATTTACCAGCAATCCTGAAACAGATCCAGTAAAGAGAGACCTTAATCGCCAAAATGCTTCTGGGATGATGAATAGGCACACTGGTAGACGAATTTCACTGATGCCTTTGGTTGTACTCCTTAAAGGACCCTCAAAACTTGATTCGCTTGATATTTTCCACCTGAAAAAGAGAAGTATTCTCGCAATTGTGTTATGAAAGCTTCCATGTGTACCATATGTT